GGATGTCACGAAGGCCTGCCAAGTCTCGGAGAGCTTCAGAAACATCTTCGGGGAAGAGCAGGTCAAGATAGGTAAGGTGTTCACGCTAGTGATTAGAGAGCAACTGCACCTACTTGACGTACGCGAGGTCAGAGCAGCTAAATTGACGGTGGCAGTTCCTCCTCCAGGCTATACTCCCAACGACGACCTCCGAGAAGACTTAGACCTTCAGGACCTCCAGCTTTGGAAGTGCTCGCTCGGGGACGACTCTGGGGAATGCGGACTACTGTTCGTGAGCAAAAAAGCGCTACACAGTCATGTCATTCGGAATCATAACGTTCACGATTTAGCCGCTCCATTAACTACGAACAACGAGTGCATCAATTGCTACCAGTGCTTCACGAGCCGTGGAACAGCCTGGAAACACCTGGCCAAGAGTTTGATCACGGGCAGCTGTAACCCAGATAGGACACGAAACCAGGGCCAGCCGACTAAACCGAGCACGAAATGTCCTCTCTGCAGCCATCTCTTCTTAGACAAGGGCGCCTTCTTCACACACCTGTGCACGCATCTGCCCAGACCATTACTGCGACCTCAGGCGCAGGATGGCGCTCTTCGACCAGCGCCCAGCCTGGGCGCCAGCGGCGGCGGCGGGAGGACCTCAGCGACCAGACCGCAGTCGACAACCACGACGAGCTGCCGCAGGAGGAGCACCAGCGGGAGGAGGAACAGCGGTGGCCAACCCGCACATAGTGGACCTCACGGCGCGCCTCACCCTCACGCTGGCGCGCGAGCAGGCCGAGCTGGCGTCGGCCATCATCCAGACGTGGGAGATCAGCGCGCAGAGCGGCATCGCGCAGGCGGGCTTACAGGCGGGCCGGACGTGCAACGACGACGCGCAGGACTTACGACGCAGAGCAGCAGATGGAGAACAAGTGGACACGGCCTCGCTCGGCAGCCCCCACATCCGCGCGTGGACCGAAGTGGTGAACTACATGGGGCGCACGTACGACGCAGGAGCGGAGAGAGACTACCTCGAGAAGTACTACAAGGACGTCATCTTGAGTGGCAGCGCGGAGAAGGTAGCAGGCGGCATCCCGATCTTCCGCGTTCGCAGGAACAAGGGCAAGGAGGGGGGCGCCACGGAGAAGTGCAGGTTCCAGTTCCAGGTGAAGGCGACGGACACGCAGCTGGAGACGATCCTCACGCGCGCCCTCCGCAAGGAGGGAGCGAACCGCAAGATCGGGGCGACGCCACGTGGGGCACTGGAGCGAGAACTGGGACGTCTCGTCAACAACTGAGCCAGAACGACACGGAGAGAGGAGCGGCGCATAGCGATGTGACTGAGCGGACGGTGCGGCTCTGTTCTGTCCCAGCGAGCGCGGCCCCTCAGGCCATCCCGCGAACTTTTCTCACCAGCGCTCGATTCCACGAGCTGGTCAGGGAAGGCCGCCTCCCCCCTCCTCCGCCTCCGACTGGGGCCCCCGACCTTCTCCAACTCCGAGGCCCGAGTTTTCCCAACTATTTTGTCGTGCACCGACCTCCCCCGCCCCCACCCGAACCGAAGCGAAAGGGTAGGGGAAAAGGGACGGGGCAGACGAGGCAGGGGAGTAAAGGAGACAGCGAGAGGGCTCTCGTAAAAGCGGGTGCTACCCTGCCCGCAGACCCTTGCGCGGGGAAGGTCGGTGCAGGTAGGGCCCGAGCGTCTAAGTGGCGCCCGCGACCCCCTTTCAGCAAAGTGACCTCAGCTAGGCCACACAACTTTAGTAAGCAGCACAGCACGTAGCGAGAGTGCAGCACCGAACCGGCCCGAGAGCTCGATCGATCGATCGATCCTTGTGCTCCTACGGTGCCCCTCTCCCTGCCTTTCGTCCCCTTCTCCCTTGCCCCAGATTTCTCACCAGATCCCCCTCCCGCGGGTTCTCTCGTAACGCAGTGCTCGCGTCTATCCAGCGCCCCCGCCAGAGGCCCACTTTCAACTCTTGCGTAGTCACGGGGAGCTGCAAGCAGGCCACACTAGCCACAAATAGGGCACACATGAGGCGCAGATGCTACAAGCAGGGCGCAGATCCCAGAGGTGGCCATGAGCTTGGCCCGCCCGTGGAACGGGCCTCCAACATCGTCACGGCGGGCCCCCCCCCCCAGGGCCGATGCAGCGGTGAGGTTTTGGGCCGACCCAGTTCCAGGGCCACCGTTGCAGACAGTGCCACAGCAGGTGCCAAGGGTCGTTCGTTGCCTGGAGGCGGGGTTGCGACGGCGGCCCGCAATGGGCCTGTGGCGGGGGTGGGCCCTCTGCGGGGGCGGAGGGGGGAGGCTGCCCAGAGCCCCAGCTCTACCCCCTCAGAGGCTTTCGATTCTAAGAGGTTCTCCACCACTTCAGGCAAGCCTCAGCGCCGTCGAATGGCGTGCCGCCAGGGAGGTGGAGGAGGAGGTGAAGGAGGGTGGATGGCCACGTCAGGATGACCTCATGGCCAAGAGAGAGAGAGAGAGGGAAAGGTGCAGGGTGGAGGGTGGAATGCGGGAGGCTGCCCTGGTCAGAAGGGCCCCCGCCCGCCCGCGCCGCCCGCCTCTGCTCGGACGCCCCGGAGCCTCGGAGGGCACCGCGAGGAGATCCCGAGGAGGGTGGCGCGGAACTCGACGCCCTGGCGACTCGAAGGCATCGCGCCGGAGGTCTTTCACCATCCGTTTCGGCGCCCAGCTGCCGTGTCGCAGCGCGTGGCCCATCAGTAAACGGCTGGGGCGACACGCGGGCCCCAGGAAAGGGGTCGAGAATCCAGGCCTCCCAGATGGGGTTGGAGCAGACGGGGTCGGAGGCTCGCAGCGCATCGCCGATGCATCGGCGACGCTGCTCGATGCGGACCCCGGGTTTCACCACGCCGACGGCCCCGGTGCGGCGCGATCCGCTGCCCCCATCCGCCCTGGTCCCACTCGGAAGGCTTTTTGGGGGAGGGGGGCCGAGGAGTCCGGAGGCCACCTGGGCCCCATCTGGAAGCCTTCCTGCGGGAGGGGGGGCCGAGGAATTCTGGAGGCCCGCTGCTCGAAGTTTCCACGGCCGACGAGGGGCCCAGCACTGCGCGGCTGCAGGTGGCGCAGGGCGTGGCCCTCCTTCCTCAGTGCAGTTCGGTATCGTTTAACCAATCCCCATCCCCATCCCCATCCCCATCCGAGACTCCCACCAAATTACCACCCCAGTTGGGGATACACCCCTCGAAACCCGAAGGGAACGACCTATACCCCCATCTACGGGGGTAAATCGGCCAGTGGGGCCCAGGCCACGCCGAGCCCATGCCAAGAAACACCCCGCTTGCCTCCAGGGTCCCCTGTGTTTATTGGGTTTCGATGGATTGCGATGGAAATCGTGACGTTCTCACACCGAAAATCAGTGGACGTCCTGGGATCTCAGGGTTGGGTTTCCTGTGGTTTCCTGTGGTCGAGATCCTGCTGTATGCTGCGCGCCGCGGGAGGCATGAGATCGGAGCAGTGCAGAGACGATAGGCTCGCGCCGTGTCTACCAGCGGCGACCCGCCGCTGGCGTTCGATGTTGACCGCCGCCGTCGACCCGGACTCGGTCCATGCGGAACGAGCTGACGTGTCAGAAACGGCCGATACGCGCAGAAGGGGGATGTGGGGGGAGAAGAAGGCTTCTCAGAAACACCCCTGCTTTTTTGGAAGGTGCAGGCCTTGTCTGTAGATGTCGGGCCGGCTCCTGCGCCCTCAACGAAGCAGCCCCCTTATCAGAAACCTTCACCCGTCCCCCTACCCCCAGGTTCGAATAATAAAGAAGGACGTAAGCAACAACTTTCGGAGGTCCGCGCGGATTTCTTGGATCTGCGCTGGGACCCCCTGGCGGCGCCGGAGGCGCCACCCCTGGCGCGCTCCGCGCGCCAGGGAGGGGGGTCCAGCCCAGATCCAAGAAACCCGTGCGGAGCGCCGAAAATAAGTTTATGCAGTTATTCTCCCCTTCTACGCATGCGAACTCCCCCGCTGGGGCTGCAGCTCGCCGGAGTGCCACTTGAGGCAACCGTAGTTGGATTGCGGGGCTCGTCGCCTCGGCCGGACGCAGCGCGGAAAATTGATGCGCTTGGATCCAGGGAGGGGTCTGGGGACCGATTGTGAGCCGATCTTGAGGTTCCAGTGTGACAAGTCGCCCTTCTCCGAGCAGCTGGAGCTCCCCGTGGGTGCGCGAAAACTCTCGCGGGGTGCGCCGAAATGATCGGAGGGGGCGGCGTGCGTCCGTTTATACACTACGCCTCCTAGATGGGGTCGGAGTAGACGGGGTCGGAGGATCGCGCCGCATCCTCGATGCATCGGCGATGCGGCTCGACGCGGAGCCCGATTTTCTCCACGCCGACGTCGCCGATGCGTCGCCGACGTCGGCGATGCATCCTCCGACTCCATCTGCTCGGACTCCATTTAGGAGGCCTCTGTCTACACTGGAGCGACAGTTGAAGCTCGGGCGCACGAACCGTGCGATGGGTGTGCCGACATGGGCGGTGGGCGGCATGCGTCTGCGCCGCACCTGGGCCGCCGTGCAGCAGGTCCGTGTCATGTCGACGCGGCGGCGACCCCAGCGCGGGCCTTTCAATGTTGAGCGCCGCCAGTGGCCCAGAATCGGCCGACGTGGAAGGATCTGGCCGTCGAAATGCTGCCGATCGTGGTAAGGGTGACCGATCCACGGCGCCAACAAGAAGCAACGCTGTGGTCGTCCTGGCAGGAGCCTGCCGCAGGTGGCCCCGATGGGGGCACGAGACGGGTGAGTGGTGCACCGAGTTTGATGGGGAGCACTGCCGAAGGGTGGGGACGTCATTGGGTCGTCGGAGGGCGTGGAGAGGAGAATGATGACGAGGATTGAGAAGTGCGAGTAAGTAAGATGTCGTCGACATTCTTGCCGCAGGGATCCGGCTTCAAAGCCGACTTCTCATTGAAGCAAATCGTCTACATGGGGTTCCATTGTTGTGGGAAGTCGTCTATCGGTTGTCGCCGAATGTTGTCTTCTTGTGTTGTGGTGAAGGACGCTCCAGATGAGCACTGGCGTCGCCGAGTTCTTCGACGACGTGGATTACTGCACATCTTATTTCACGCTTCATCTCTGATGGCTAGGTGTAGAGTTCCAGAGTCAGAGGGAGTAGTTGGTGGTGGTTAGTGCCGTGAAGGATCGACCAGCGCTTGTCATCAGAAGTGCGCAACTCAGTCGTGCCCTCAATGGGGGTATGTCGACCTGCAGGCACCAGAAGAAGCATGATAAGGGCGCCGTGCACATGCAACACAGAGGGTGCATGCGCAGATTTTCGCACAGACAGGTCAAGTCGTAGGGTTCAGGCCGTGGCTGGCACACAACACACATATTGGGTTCCCGCACGTACAGGCTTCCCGCACATTTGGGTCCACACACAAAGGGCTTCACACACATGGCTCCATACTGTGTGCGATATTGTCTAAGGGTTCGGGGTCCATGCGGCAAACAACTTCCAACATGTCCCAGAACAGCGATTGCATTAAGGGCTGTTGTCAAATGTTCTTTCAGAATTCCTCCTGGGCGTTGGGATGCCCAGTTGCCGCCGTAGGGCCAAGCCACATGTAGCAGACATGTTTGTTGGCATCATCGGTTGCCCTCCATGGAGTTCTGGAACATGGTCCCAGCACGTGTCTTGGCTGCTTTCCTTTGCACGCTCTTCACTCCGCCTGGATCTCGATTCCTTCGGCTCCGTCTCCAGATCGCACCCCTTCTCCTCTATCTCTGCATTCTTCCATCTCCTCCTCACCGCACCTGTTTCTCCCCCTCCTGGTCCTGATCCTTCTCTTGGTGCCTGCCTGCCGAGCCGTGCTCTGCACGCGGAGGCTCGCCACAGTTTCGCATCGTGGAGGCACCGCTGTGCGGTGCCCACGGCGGGTGTTTTGCCGGGTCGAGTCTGGAGACGATGTGGGCTGTCTGACTGCGGAGGCCACCCCCCAGCTGCTCCTTCGCATCCTCCTCCTCCTGCTGGATCTCGATGCCACCACCTCGCGCGAGGACCAGTTCCTGCTCGGCGAGATGTCCGAGGCGGACCTCATCGGCAGCCCGATCCAGGCCCGCCCGCGGATGGCGGGCAGGCCTGCCTGCCGAGCCAGAGTGGAGGGCGCGTCGAGGCAGGGCGTGCTGGGAGGGAGGGCACTCGGGGGACACGGGGGTCGAGGAGAGGGAGAGGCATCGGCGGCGGCGTCGGCGACGCCGCACGGCGGGGCCGCGGGCGCTGCTCTGACGCGCCGCTGGCACTGGCGGCGGCCGGCTGCGCCTGGCCGGCGGTGGCGGGCGCACGGAGGCCGGCCACGTCGGTGTCGCGTGCCCAGCCGAGCTCCCGGTCAGCGCCAGGTGCAGGCCTCGGCCGGCACGCCCTGCGACCCCCCCCCCCCCCACAGGGACCAGGGGTGGCCGGATGGTTGTCACCTGCTGCGAGCAAGGGCCGCCCCCTGGGGGCCGCCGCGGTGCGTTGGAGGAACGCGCCGGCACACCGAGGGATATGGAGGAGGAGGAGGAGGAGGTGGAGGAGGAGGCGGAGGAGGAGCAGGAGGAGGAGGAGGGAGGAGGAAAAGATGGAGAGGAGATGTGCGATCAGGAAATGGGGGAACGGAAGAAGGACGGACAAGTGGTGGATTCGTTCCATGGAGGACAAGAAGGCGAGCGAATCGAGACGGCTGGCGTGTCAAAGTTTTGGTGGCATCTGTTGGCCCGCTCTGGGCCACAGGACCGTCCAGCAAAAGCGACCCGGGCGAAAAACCGGTGCCGTGGACGGGGCATTGTTTTGCGACGAAGAAGAAGAAGAAGCACGCCGAGGCGGACCAGTCACGTGACTAACGACTCGGCCCAGCAGGGCGGCGCTCGGGCTCAGCCTAGCCCATTACCGCTTGCGCCACCTGCTGGGCCCTCCTGTGCCCGAGCCAGCTCCCGCTGGCGCACTCTCTCCTGGAGTGCCGCCAGCCGTGATTCGTACTGATACGAAGAGGCTGGGTTGGGCCTTGCGGAGACGCTGGTCGTCTCTCTCCGAGGGACGCGGCGTGTGGGCGCCACTCGGACGGCAGGTATCACAGAATCGATGGAACGCTGGAGCTTGCGATGAGGTCCGACGCCACGCCTCAGGTTCCGAAGAATCTCAAGACCCTTGGGCGTCGGCCTGATGCAAGGTGACCTCAACTTGAGACGGCGCCTCTGTTGGGCCCACGCTCCACATTTCGTACAAACAAAAACAGGTCGGTCCACACTATCCGAGACCGACTCGCACCGTTCGCCAGACTGGTGCACAGCAACGAGACAGTGGCCGTTCGGCCGAGCGAAAAACGCACTGAGGAAAGCTGGGGTTCCCCTACAGCCCACTAAGGGCCAATCAACAGCATTGTCATGCAGAACAGAGAGGCAATACTTGCACTGAACTCCTAACTCCGTCCTACACCAATCATGATGTCCCTCAGTCCTCACGTTTCTGCTCCTCTTGAATATCGGTGCCCTCCTCCACCTCTCCTCCTTCTCGTAGCAGGGCAGGGTGGCGGAGATTAGACGCACGAGGTTCCTCGTCGCCTCCTCGTGCAGCTCAATCTGCTTACAAAATTCATGACGAGGAGCGGGGTGAAGAGAAACAGCCATCTTCGCGAATCTGTCAGCAGCAACGCTCGCATCTGTTATTCTTCTCTGTTCAACATTCAGCAAAGCATATTGTTCGCTCGTGCGATGTGCTTTAACATGTTCTGCTGCTGTCAGATATTCACGACCAGGAAGGCTCTGACCAAAGACCTGAACACATGCATAAATGGAACGTGATTCTCTCTGGCGCTGAGGAGACTTCCGCGCCTCGAAGACTGCGCCAAGGAAATCAAAATACATGGTTGCAGGCCGATCTGCGACTTGGCCACAAAAAGCCAATCCCATATACTCGGCAATCACTGATGTCTGGGGCAGAGCAGGAGGAACAGCCCCATATACTGCAAGAAGTGGATCTGGGCCAGACGGGCTCAACAATGCGATTGCCCATCCAGCCCTCTGTAAATCACGAAGAGCAGGTTTGCTGCAAGACCCGTCAGGAGCAAGTTCGATCGCCTGCGCCTCTGGACATGCAGATTCCACCATCTCCTCAGGGTTCAAATCCTGCACCTCTCCGGCCATGTTCACGACGAATGCTTCATGACCAGGCGCCAATTGTGGAATCTCCTCGTCGAGATATTCAAACATTCCATGCTCAAAAAACCCCGAACCATGCTCATCAATGCCTCGTTGGATGAATTCGGGTGGTACCTCAGATGTGCTTCTGGCAGCCACCACATCACCCCTCATGCAAGTGAACGAACGGTGATGTACCGTATCTGGAGCTCCGCAATCACAACGACCGTCCGTCTCATAACCTTTGCATCTCGCCCTCTCACGTGTCCAAATGCCACCGAGCGCAAAGGATTTGACCAGGAACTTCTGGTATGAGGTGAACTTCGAATACTTTTCTCTCACGAACGGCCGAAGAATATCATAACTTGAACGCATGCCAGCTGGAAGCCCTCTCTTGGCAGCCAAGTCGAGCTCCAACTGTCTCTGTAATGACTCAGTCAGCCGCTTCTCCAGCATGCCTGGTGTAAATTGTTGCAATGGCACTTCAACTCCACGATGGTCAAGCCAGACATCCCACTGCTTGATTGTCCAACCAACCCTGCGAACACAAAGAGCAGCTCGCTCAAGGGGCCCTCGCGAAGACGCCCACGCTAGATTCTCAAGCGGGCGGTCCTGCAGGGCTTGTGTCCACCACGTTCGGAGCTGCTCCAAAGAAACTAATGCCGTCTCTGGTGCCAGAACTGCTTGCCATCTCATTCTTGACCACTGCAGTGCTGGGGCAAGTGCTTGGCGTGCTGAAGGATCATCAAAGAGTACAGCCTTTGCACTTGCCGAAATCCCACCATGGCATGGTTTCACGAACTGAAAGAACTGTCTACGTAATGCACTCCATTCAGAATCTGACAGGCCTGTGATCTCCACACCGAACGTCAGGGCTGGTCGCGCCCCTGTTCTGAAGATTTTGCCTGTCCTCTCGTACTTCTTGGTGGGAATCGCCTTTCGATACCGAGCAATTTTCTTCAACCGATGCTGAAAACGTCGACGTCGACTCTGTTGCTTCTTCCGCGTGGCTGCAGCTCGCCTTGATCTCCCACCGGCCTGATCCGTTCCAAGATACGTAGCTGCACGCTTGTTGGAAGAAGACTCAAACCCCAATTTGTCAGCAACTTTATCACCAACTCCAGATTCAGAACATACGATTGAGAGCTTGTTATTAAACTTGGCCCCCAATCTTGTCGCAGTTGTCTGGAAACTACGACCAACCTTCACCGCCATCTCGATCAACTCATCAGTAGTATCCGCTTCGATGCCTAGGCTGCTGTCGTCTATGTGCGACGAAAAATGCAGCTCACTGTGCAAAGCCACGAATCTGTCGTACTCCTCCAACGCATGTACCTTGATCCCCACATCCGCATATGCATCACCCGCTGGGAAACCTCGCCGAGCGTGGACTGGTTGAAGGCAGTGGTGCCGCATCAATCGAATGATTCTTGGTGCCGACCAAGTGTTGAATAATAATTTCGTCAAACACGTGGGAGCTCCATATCTAGAAAACTTCTCCCTCACCGTAACTAAGTCAATGGTCTCATAATACTTGCTGTAGTCAGCAATGATCTGCAAGCTCTTCCTTTTGTCATGTGCGCAAGCTTCGACACGAGCAGCCACCTGCCACGCAGAATCGATAGCGGAGCGGCCCGACGAGGCCCCCCAATACACACGGCGTAGAAGCTGCTGGAGTGGTGCAAGCTCAGGTCGACGAAGCCGTTGCCATACACGATATACCGATCCATACAAAACTATAAGTCGATGTCCTCCCATCGGCTTGGGAAGCATAGGCATGCAAATCCATAACATCTGCTTCGGTAACATTCCCAAGGATTCGAATGCTTCGAACAACATGCCGAGGATGCCGAGGCCCTCATCGCTCAAGAGCAGCAGGTGTCTAGGATGTAGTCCGTCCAGAGACCCTGCAGTTGATGAGGAGAAAGTTTGAGCGACGGCCCTGATGTCAGCAGCAGTTGCTCTCGGGAACGAACTCCTGTCTGGTATCCATGCTTTGGGCGCCTCAGAGCTAGCATCCCACAACGATCGATACTCATCTGCAGTATTCTCGACAACTACGTGTGGATGTGCAGACGGAAGCCCGTCAGCGGTGACCACCGTCGTCTCGTTGACCTGATGATACTGCGTAATCTTGTGCAAAGCTCGTGCGCCTCCTGCTGCAACTTGATCGCACCAATTCTGCCATCGTTTTTGAGATTCTCTCCCAGCTGCCTGCTTTGCAAACTCAACGTCCTCATCAATCTCCTCAAGGAATTCAGCAATCTGTTCTGGAAAGAATCGACCTGCTACCAAGCGTCTCGCCTGTGTCACACCTGCATCCAATCTCGAACATAGATGAACCCCAGGATACGGTGTCGTCTGAAACAGCATCAGCTCGTCGTCAAGCATCGCAGCTTTTTCCTCATCGCCATTGATGGATGCCTGCTTCAACAGACTGAGACCTTGAAGAGCATCCGAAAGCCACTTCCATCCATCCGCTTGTGCAGCAAGGCCTACCGCATCACTGCCATTGTAAGTCACATCGACCCACTTCGGCTTGATGCAGCGCGCATAAGATCCAGGACACTTGACTTCCTCACCCGTCATAATACCAATTCTCTCAGCAGGTCTGGGAATGAAACTTCCCCAAGCCAAGGTAAGAAAACCCCATGCTGCATCCGAAGGTGACTCCTTGGCCATCTGAACCGCTGTGGAAGCATACCTACGCTCCAGTGACCAATCAAAGTCCTGCTGGGCAGGCCCAAACACAGCGGTTGTGGGAAGCTTTGGGACTGCAGCATACGTCAATATCTGAAGTCGATGTCCATCAGCAGCCAGTTCGATTTGCACAGGACGGTGTGGCTTGGTTTCCCACGTAGCATCAACCTTTATCTGCTTCAATAATCGATGTGCACCCACACTGAGACAAAAGAAATCAATCGTACTCGTTGATGTTGCCG